AGATACCAGGTGTTGTAAACTGTCAGTTAGTACTGAGTATACACAGATACCAGGTGTTGTAAACTGTAAGTTAATACTGAGTATACACCAGATACCAGGTGTTGTAAACTGTAAGTTAATACTGAGTATACACCAGATACCAGGTGTTGTAAACTGTAAGTTAATACTGAGTATACACCAGATACCAGGTGTTGTAAACTGTAAGTTAGTACTGAGTATACACAGATACCAGGTGTTGTGAACTGTAAGCAAGTTAGTACTGAGTATACACAGATACCAGGTGTTGTAAACTGTAAGTTAGTACTGAGTTTACACAGATACCAGGTGTTGTAAACTGTAAGTTAGTACTGAGTATACAAAGATACCAATATCTTGTTAAATATATTTAACCTGAATAAGTAATAATTGAACAAAAATTGTACACACTTTACATTAACATATTTTTTATTGCCTTGTTATAAATTTTTAATTTAGTTTTAGGTTGTTCATAATGGCTCCATATACCTGTTTTGGTTATTCAGTCGAAGATACAAACTGTCAAGCTTGTTGTTTTTAGTGTTACATGAATGTAGTTCAAGTTGTTGCTTGTAGAGTACAAATTGAAGATGAACTTGAATAGTTCTTTTCTCTATTTATAAAGGATTCAGCCAAGTTCCAGGAGTATATAGTTCTCTACTGTGTTTCCAAACAGTTTGGTTAAGTTGCAAATAATACCTAAAGGTTTACTATGATAAAGATCATTAAAAGGTACCATAAGTTCTTTAGGAATCAGACTCTGCTTATATCTCTAGATGTATAACTGTCATATGATAATCTTATATCCAGTCTTTCTGCTGATATAACTCTGACTAAGTTAATGCTACAAGAAGACGACAGTAGTCAAGAATTAGAGATTAATTTGGTATTGAAACTGTGAGGCTGCTATACCACTCCTACATTCTACACCTGTCAGTATACCACTCCTACGTTCTACACCTGTCAGTATACCACTCCTACATTCTACACCTGTCAGTATACCACTCATACATACACCTGTCAGTATACCACTCCTACGTTCTACACCTGTCAGTATACCACTCCTACGTTCTACACCTGTCAGTATACCACTCCTACGTTCTACACCTGTCAGTATACCACTCCTACGTTCTACACCTGTCAGTATACCACTCCTACGTTCTACACCTGTCAGAACGTAGGAGTGGTATACTTTGGTGCACTTTTTAAACATGTTACAAATATCTACATAAAGGAATCAAACTTTCAAAAATACAAAAGTCTTTTGACTTTATGGCTTCCTGTGTAATGTGTTTAAGATGATAAAAGAAAAAAACCAAGTCTTTTATCTTGGCAAATAATTTATTCACATACCCACAAACTTAGTACAGAGCAAATGAATCCTACAATATTACTCTCCGAGTTAGAAGTAACACTAAGTACTACATCCAGCAAATGTCATATTACATTTGAATATTAGTAAAAAAAAATACTCACAACATTATATACATAGAAAGTCATATATATATATATACAGCAATCCCACAGGGATTAGTGAATGTCCAAGAAGGGTTTATCTAGTGAAGGGGATTCTTGTGGCAACAGTTACATATTATAAATATGGAGTGAAGCACATGTTTATTAACCACTCTTTACTAATCTAGCCTCCCTCTTTGTTCTTCCTGCAACTCGGTAAGAAATCGGTGTAACCCGAACCAAGAACAGTTTCCGGTCGACCCTTGTTCACCCGTTATGTTACTTTCTTAAAGTTTAAAAGAAGTTACTTCACTGCATGGTACAAACTCAGTTGGAGTTTTATTTACAGAATAAAACAACCGAAACTTGTAAAACGTCACCTGTTCAGTATCATTTTGTAAAGGTGTGACCTCATCTTCATATTAGTACTTGTGTGATCTGATTTATCTCTGTACGACTAGAGCAGGTTCAGAACTGTTTACTCACTCTTCAACGGTGTGGCTAGACAAATATTAATCACCATGGCAACCAATGCTGAGTTGAGCAGCTTCAGGTACGGGGTCTTGTTGAATGGGTTAAATTCACTGAACTGTATAATATTACAAGCTCTAAAACTATACAACATTTATAAAGAAAACCATGAGTTTCAATACAGGGTACAGAAATATTATCTACCCATTTTGCATCACTCGTCTCATGCTCACTTACTGAATGTACAAACTAAATGCTTCAGAGACCATTATATAATATAAACATTTTGTACCAAAGATTTTTCACAAGTATCTTACATTTTATATTAGTATAGATTTCAGTTCACAAACAATAAATAAACTACACTAAAACCTTTATAAGAATTGGGACTGTTCATATCTTGAATACGTGGTTAGACACCACTAACTTACCTTACAGTTTTTATAGAACATCTCTGGTTACATGTAAATGGAACAGACTTTCTACGGACAATGACAGCGATGATTTTTATTAACTAAACTAGTAAATGTTATCATTAAAATGTGATTAGCTTCATAGTTTACTTGCTAGCTACCATTACAACAGTTGTTTAAACAAGATAAAACAAGGGTCTCTTCACAACTATAATAACACATGTTACATCCTGACATAGCTCAGTCTACCAAACAGCTCCCTGTAAGGGTACTTATAAAATTAGGAGTGGTATACTGTAGGAGTGGTATACTGACAGGTGTACATTATGTGGA